CCCTCCTCCTCCTCCTCCTCCTCCTCCTCCTCCTCCCCTCTCCTCCTCTCCTCCTCCTCCTCTCTCTCTCTCTCTTCTATCCTCCTCCTCCTACTCCTCCTCCTCCTCCTCCTCCTCCTCCTCCTCCTCCTCCCCTTCTCCCCCTCCTCCTCCTCCTCCTCCTCCTCCTCCTCCACAATTACACCATGTGAATACAACTCTCCTCTCTCCCCTGCTGACGTCCCGGAAAGGCGGGTCCCCTCCGCCGCGTATTGGTTGTTTACATTGGATTCCTCGGAAACGGGTTTTGCTTGGTTTTTGTTATGAATGCAGCTCTCGCTGAGGCGCTGGCTTCGTTTTCGGGCCACCGCTCGTTCCGAATCGTGCTCCCGCTGCAGCGCTGGCCTCATTTCCGCGCTTCCGCTCGTTCCGAATCGTGCTCCCGCTGCAGCGTTGACGTCATCATTTCCAGCGCCATGCCACGGCATGGTCTGAAATCCTTCCAAATAGCTCCAACATTTAAGGATAACATATGCCCCTTGACAAAACAATCGGAAGTGATTCCACATCCGGTGTCGATTCATTGATTTTCTGGGTCGCAGAAGCCCCCCCCCACTTTGGGGTGTCGCCACGCCATGCTATGTCATGCCACGCGCCAGTCTTTAACACCCTGATCTGCCATGTAATTCTTTGCCATTCTACGACATCCGATTGTGCGAATAGAGAGGAGATCTACGCCATGGTAAGGGATCGGAGGGAGGGGTAGGACTTCACAGACATGACGCGAACGCACCGAGCTTGTCCTTCTCCTCCTCCTCCTCTTTTCCTCATCTTTTCCTCCTCCTGTCCTCCTTTTCCTCCACTTTTCCTCCACTTTTCCTCCTCTTTTCCTCCTCTTTTCCTCCTCCTTCTCCTCCTCCTCCTCCTCCTCCTCCTCCTCCTCCTCCTCCTCCTCCTCCTCCTCCTCCTCCTCCTCCCCCCTCTTCCCCTCTTCCCCTCCCTTTCCCATCCTCCCAGACGCATGCCCAGACCTCCCTGTGGCGGGGCAGGGCTTCCGTAATTAGCGGAGGTCTTTGCAGGGGGCCTCCGGGAGCGGCGCACGCATGCCACGGACCTCCCGGGGCTCCTCCACGAGTCGAGTGGGAGGTCGACTTCAGAATGGACTTGCCCCAGAATTCTAGGGTTCCTAGGGTCGGAGTAGATGGGGTCGGAGGATCGCGCCACATCGCCGATGCATTCGTTATGCGTCTCGATGCGAAGCCCGGTTTGCTTCGCGCTGGCGTCGCCGATGTATCGCCGATGCATGGCCGATGCATCGCCGATGTATCGGCGGTGCGGCGCGGTTTTCCGACCCCATCGGCCCCATCCCATCTCTGAGGCCTCTAAGAATTGAGGTTTTGTCAAAGTACTGAACAAACTTCAAATGTTCGTAGACCTGCGCAACATGCACGTGTTCCACGTTTCTTCGACAGGGCATCATTTGGGGGGCGCAGCCTGACCTGGGACAGTTCAACATCCTTCACGAACACGAGACCCTCAGCCGGCCAGAACACCCCAAGCCGCAATATCGTTCGAAGGGCACCACCCCCATGGATGCACAACAACACCCCCAACAAGCACGAACATGTGGACACCCTCCCCGAACCGACCTCGATCTTACTAGGGGGCCACATGCGAACCCTACCCCTACCCCCCACGATTTCTGAGGGGGAGGGTGGGGTTCACTCCGTTCGGGAGCTCCCGAGCGAAGTGAACCCCCCCCTCCCCCCCCCTCAGAAATCGTGGGGGGTAGGGGTAGGGTTCGCATGTGGCCCCCCACTTACGGCTCGATCCGCAGATCAATTTCTGTAGTCGACCTCCTCGTGGAATAGAGCAGCTCGGGGGCGGCAACGAGGGGGGTGATGACTAGAGGGGGGGATTTCAGGGCGCGTGCCATGATTTTTCCTCGGATTTCATGGCGCCTCTTCTCATTTCATTGCGTCCCTGGCCCCCCCCCTTTGGCCGCGCACATGCCGCCGGCCATGATTTGCACCCCCCCCTCTTGCACACCTCCCTCTTGGCCGCCCCCGAAGAGCTTGGGAACCCAGACCTCCTCAGGTCATACATACCAAAATCATGACGGTAGTTTCTTTCCATTTTCGGCTTCTGGAGGCCTTCAACAGGCTCTGGGGGAGCACGCAGTGGAATAGAGCTCGGGGGCGGCAAAGAGGGGGGTGATGTCTAGGGGGGGGGGGGATTCAGCCGCGGGCCATGATTTGTCCTCGGATTTCATGGCGCCTCTTCTCATTTCATTTGGTCTGTCCCCCCCCTTGGGCCGCGCACATGCCGCCGGCCATGATTTGCACCCCCCCCTCTTGGACACCCCCCTCTTGGCCGCCCCCGACGAGCTTGAGAACCCAGACCTCCTCAGGTCATACATACCAAAATCATGACGGTAGTTTCTTTCCATTTTCGGCCTCTGGAGGCCTTCAGCAGGCTCTGGGGGAGCACGCAGTGAAATAGAGCTCGGGGGCGGCAAAGAGGGGGGTGATGACTAGGGGGGGGTGGATTTCAGGGCGCGGGCCATGCTTTGTCCTCGGATTTCATGGCGCCTCTTCTCATTTCATTGCGTCCCTGGCGCCCCCCCTTGGGCCGCGCACATGCCGCTGGCCATGATTTGCACCCCCCCTCTTGCACACCTCCCTCTTGACCGCCCCCGAAGAGCTTGGGAACCCAGACGAGGCATCCCTCCGACGGCATGGTCTACAAAGGCCAGCCCAGACGAGGGCGCTGCGAAGACAGCGCAAATCTCCTGCACCAGCGCGCAGGCACAAGCGGCAGTCCAGGTGGGGCGCAGGGTCAGAGCCCACTACGTATTCACGGACGGCTCAGGAGGTGCAGGCAACGCGGCCAAGGGCCCCAGGTTTCGAAGGTGCGGCTGGGCAGCCGTGGCCTTCAAGCTCGACGAGGGAGGCCAACCGCAGGAGGTGACAGCCTGGTGCGGGCCGGGGCACTTCTACAGCAACACCCGGGGGACGGCGACAGCTCAGACAGCCCAGGCAGCTCATGCAGAGGGCGCCGAGACAGGGGAGGCTGAGGAAGGAACGGATAAGCAAAAGGAGGAGAGGGGGCGGGAGAGGCAAGAAGGGCAGAGCGCTCGAGACAGTCCGGGCTCACCCTCTGCGACTAAGTCCGGCCCGAGGCGGCGCCGGCAGGAGCGCGGAGGCAGTCGCTCGTCGCGCCTCGCGGGTCGGGCCGTGGGAGTTGTCAGATGACCGATTGAAGGGGGGGGGGCCTCTCGGCTCCTCCCCGGGGAGGGGGGGATCCTCGTCGCCGCGCTCGGTGGCCCACATTGTTGAGCAGCCATTGGTCTTTCAAGCATCTTGGGCCTCTGGAGGCTGATGCGGTACTTCCCGAGTCAAGTTATGAGTTATGAGTCTCGTAAAAAAAAACGAAGCAAAAACCTACCACTCCTTCGTAACTCGGTGCTCGCAACTGCATGAGACTTGGAGCATGCCGCATCACGTTCTCAGCGCACGGTGGCGGATACCCTCGCTCCTCCCCCGCACGTTCGCGCAGGATCAGGACGAGGATGAGGATGAGGGGAAGGGGGACGAGGCGGAGGAGAGGAAGATGATGATGATGACGATGATGAGGATGAGGATGATGATGATTATGATGATGATGACGATGATGATGAGGATGAGGATGAGGATGATGATGATTATGATGATGACGATGATGATGACGATGATGATGATGGCGATGATGGCGATGATGGTAATGATGACGATGATGATGATGATGATGATGATGATGATGATGATGACGATGATGATGATGCTGATGATGATGATGATGATGATGTTGCTGATGATGATGATGATGTTGATGATGTTGATGATGATGATGAGGATGATGCTGATGGTGATGGAAATGGTCATGATGATGATGATCATGATGATATGAGGATGGTGATGTGATGATGAGGAGGCTGATCATAATGATCATGATGATCATGATGCTGATGATGATGCCGCTGATGGTGGTGATGGTGATGATGATGATGAGGAGGAGGAGGAGGAAGAAGAACAGGTCCCTCCTCCTCCAGGTTCCCGTGCAGAGCCCGCTTCTGCATTTCCGCCTGTCGATCGGAGCGCATTGTGCCTTTGCCGGTCATGACTGGGTTGCGCTGCGGCGTAGCATTGCGCGAGTGAAAGAACGGGTGGGAGAGGTCCTTCCCTTCGTTCTCCGCCATGGCGACTCGCGCACGACCATCTGGCGCGTGCTCTGTGCGTCTCGCCAGCTGGTCCCGCTGCTCCCCATGATTATTCTACGTAGGGCCTTGCGCTTGCCACTGCAGGACGAACTGATTCCCGATCGCGTCGCCTCGCCTCCTCCCTCCTCCCCCTTCCCTGTTGATGTGTCCGCAAACGCCCCGAGGATGTCTCCCTCCCATGCCCCCAGGGTCTTCTGGAGGCTGTCAAAGACTGTCAAAAACGCCCCAGGAAGCATCGATTCTCGCCGAGAGTTCTGGACCTTCCGTGTAGCCCGGCACGGGAACTCCGCGACCATCGTGTGGCCCCGTTCATCCAGCCAGGATCCGCCGCACTCGTTGGCTGGCACCGCGCTGCCCTTATTCTATTGCCGCATGGGTGGCAGGACTTGTCCGCCGCTGCAGTACTTATAGTTGCCGCTTCCTTCCATCGCATCGTCCCCCCCCCGTAGGTCGAAGAAGAATACGGCATAAACATACACTTTTGGCGCTCCTCGCGGATTTCTTAGATCTGCGGGACCCCCCGTCCCTGGCGCGCGGAGCGCGCCAGGGGCGGCGCCGGAGGCGCTGCCCTGGGGCGCCCAGCGCGGATCCAGGAAATCCGCGCGGAGCGCCAAAAGTTGATGTTTACGTCGCTTTTCCTTTTCTAGTAGTGGCACAAGTGGCTGCCCTCGTGGTGCCACCCCGAAATTGAAACGTCCGCTCTTCGAATCCTGCTCCCCCCCGCTGGATGCCGCGGCGGCGGCCGGGGCCCTCGCCGCCTCAGGCGCTACGAGGCCCGCGCCGAGTGCATGGCGTGCGACGAGGGCGGCGCCTCGGGGCGGCCACCAAGGGCCCAGCGGCAGGAGGAGGAGGAGGAGGAGGACGAAAAGGAGGAAAAGGAGGAGAAGGAGGTGGAGGCGGAGGCGGAGGAGGAGGGGGAGG